TCAAGTCCTGTGCAAAAACGCATGATCGCACGGGCCCGTCCGGTGCGTTCCAGCCTGGGTTTGCATGATGTGTTCCTGGGGTGTGTTAAGCTTTTGGAGCCTTTCTGCGCGCGGCCTTCCTGTGCTGTAATCGGACCTCAGATCAGATTGTGCTTCTCGTCAGCTATTCCATGTTTAATCGATAAACAAGTTTGTTCTGCATCTACAGGCTGACAGCACACACTGCCGAACAGAATCACTTCTCAGAGAGGCTGCTGCACGAATTAGCCACCAAAACCACTGCTGCACCGCGCAGACGACATTAGATTGGTCTATTCGCACCCCTCGTCAGAATGCTTTATCAGCGCGATTTTCACTTTTTTCATTGAATTCTACCTCTTCTCCGATGCATATGTGTGTGTTTGTTTGTGAGTGTGTGTGAATGTGTGTCTGTGTGTGTGCATGTGTGCGTGTGTGTACGTGTGTCTGTGTGTGTGTGTGCGTGTGTGTGCGTGTGTGTGTATGTGTGCAGCACACGAGCAATCCCAGTACGGAATAGCATGGCAAGGGTTCTACGCGCCTCTCGTAACCTCAGCGTTCCGTTCTTCGTTATATGTGCTGAAGAAGACATGCAAACACGATTCCAACGCTGTGCAGCAACTGGCTGCGTTTAAGCTTCCTCAGCACCAGCATGGACATCTGTTATCTTTGTTGGACCGAGTGGTGGGCAGCAACTTGTTCCAGAAGTAGGCTGGGAGCTCAATTATGCGTTTTTACAGTGCAGCGCAGCGCTGCTACAGCCTGCAAAAACATATATTGTTGAGGAATTGTCTGTATGTGTTTAGAAGTGAGTGAACTTTCATTTCAGCAACCAGGAAAACTGAGAGGCTGAAATTTTGGGTATATGTTCCTGCCCCGTGTGTCAGCTTCCCGTTTTAAGGTCTTTCCCCAGACGCGCCTAGACCCCACGTAAGGACCCCCAAAAAACGTACAAATTTCTTTGGCGGGAAACGATTTCGCGAACCAGGCAAAGTACAAAGCTGAAAGTTTGTAGGGATATTCTTTGTGCATGTGCGAGCTATAGATTTCAGATCCAGCTGTCATTCACGCTTGTGCAGCGTGTACGATCACGTCAAAGTTTGTAAAGTGGTGCCGTGCTAATTCGAAGACTTGCTGGAAAACTGTGGCTGAAATTATGTCAGCATGTTTGTCGCCTATATGAGGAATCATATACCCAAATTGAGTTCTGATTTGCACTTGCGCCACTGCTCAGGGCACTTCAAAGATATTTGTAGCGAAATGGATATTTCGCTTATCGGATAAGATGGAAGGCTAAAACTTCGTTGGGACATTCTACTTTCAAGTGCGGTCTTAATTCTGCTTGGAGGTGAAATCCCCTGCAGGTATGCATAAGAAGTACTCAAATTTACCGAAAAACCAGAAATGAATGCGTTTTGCAGCGAACGACCGTCCTCATCCAAGTACATGAATGAACATTCAGTTCATTTGCATACTTGAATTTTTTGACGAACGACGGCTTTGGTAACATTTCCATTTTTTAGTGAACTGGAAATTTGCATTTTGTCAAAAAGCGAGCATTTACCGAAAAAACGACCGAGCTTTATGCAAAAAACTGGTAATCATGTACCTGGAGGTTCATGCGGCTCTATAATGCACCACCCGCGTCCCAACCGGCGCCCTTTCTCCTGCATGCCGGAAGGGGCCAAAGCACGACCAATACGAACCCAAGTA